CGAGGAGGAGAGCATGGTGAACTTGCCGGCAATGTGCGAGTGATCCGTGTAAACATCATCCACCACCGTGACGAGCTGTGAAAGCAGCGCCTATCAGACCTTTGCCCTTGAGCAGCTTGTGGAAATAAATACGCACCCGACAGAAACTGGTTATGGACGAGATTTCCTGAATGCGTCGATGGACGGTCACCTTGTGCCACTGATGATCATCGAAACGCACCTTGGCGGGCTTTATGTGCATCTCCTGCTTGCCGTTGGCCAGCCCCATGGTTAAAGAGACGCCCCCGTCGCGCAGCGCCAGGTTTAGATAGTCAGTGCCGTGGCCCGTGTAGAAGAGCAGCCCATTCGGCTGCCGAGTGCGAAAATAGAAGGAGATGGCATCCTGGGCGCTGACAATGGGCTCTGCGCCCGTCTGGCCCAAATCGTACGAGAGGAACTGTGTACCGCGGAACGTTGCTTCGGATGGCGCCTTCTCCTTTTCACAATACTGGCCGTCGTACTCCAGATTACGACACTCGCATATTGGACCCGAATCCGTGGATATGCATATGCCGCCATGCTGGCAGGGATCGTTGCGCTCACAGGCGTCGGTTGTGTTGCCGCGAACGCCCTACAACAAATAAACGCAAGTCATGAATGGATGCACAGTAGAGATTTAAGGGAAGATTGCGCTTTGATGCATGCTTAACTGCTCCAGAAAATGATTTTAAAGTGCAACAATCCTCTTTCAGAATTTTTTTTAAGGCTATGCATAAAAATGCTGTCAGTAACGGTTTCGACTATTGATGACAACGACGCAACGTGAAGCTGCACCTCCTATCGATAACTTTCTCAGTTATCGCACAATACATAACGGGCGATAACAAAGAAAAGAGTGCTAGACAATTATAGAAAGCCTCAAACGTTAGAAATCAAATGAATAAAGATGCTTGCGTTTTGCAAGAAGAGTGAAACATGTCATAAAAGGTCCGTTTCCCCCCATGGATAGACTGATTTTTTTCAAGGTTAAAACACGTCTAAAATTAATTTGAACAAAGATCATGGAAAACAAGATTAGGGCTGATCGAATTTCAAACATAAATGTTTGAAATTAGCGTTTTTCACAATTTCACTGCGAGAGGAACTCCCCAAAACCCTGTATTAGTGCGTAACTGCTTCCTGCTTGTGCTATGAGTTGATCACTAATCAGACAATCAGTTCGACAATCCGTCGGTCCTTCTGTCCGTCAGTCAGTCCGTCAGTCATTCATTCCGTCAATCATTCAGTCCATCAGTCATTCAGTCCGTCAGTCATTCAGACCGTCAGTCAGTCAGTCAGTCAATCAGTCAGTCCGTCCGTCCGTCAGTCCGTCAGTCAGTCAGTCAGTCCGTCAATCAGTTCGACAATCCGTCGGTCCTTCTGTCCATCAGTCATTCAGTCCGTCAGTCAGTCAGTCCGTCCGTCAGTCAGTCAGTTAATCAGAGAATATAAGTACTCGCGTGTATTCAAAATAGTTTTGTCTTACCCTCATTCCTCTTTCGCGGGGTGGCATCTCGCCATGGTCACAAGGGGCGTCGCCACATTTAATGTCGCGCGGCTGCTTCATTTCCTGACGCCTGGTGATGCCGCCCGGCTGATCCGCATAGACAAGATTGCGAATGGAGCCACGGAAGCGCGGCTCAAAGATGACGCTGGGCAGGGCCAGCAATGCAAGCTTGCTGTTGTACCAGTTAGGCATGCCGCCCACATAGACATCCGAGTTGCTGGCGAATTTGCCGAACTGGAACTCCTTGCCCTTGGTGGAACGCTGCTGTGAGACGCCGTCGACGATCAAGGAGGTCTGATCATCGTTGCGCAGCACCTGCACCTTATGCCAGTGTCCGTCGTGGAGCTCGCGTCCCACCGTGATAATCTGGGCACCGCCGCCCAGATTGTAGCGCAGACGAAGTGCGCCCTCGACCAGCTTGAGCTCGAAGAAATCGTAAGTGCCACCGTCGTCCGTATAGAGCACCAGACCGTTGGGCTGCTCCGTCTTGAACTCCAGCTCCAGCGTGCCATTCAGACCCGTATACCATTTGCGAAAGGTGTAGAACGAGCTTTGCGACCCGTCCAGCTGGAAGCCAGCGCTGATCGTTATAAAACTCGCCACCAGGCTGACCAGAAGAGCCGTCACAATCAGCACCCGATATGAGCGACGATATTCCACCACGATGGCTGGCCGGGAGCAAGAACGCGAACGACAACGACGCTGGGGACGCGAGGGCTGCGGGCAAGTCTCGGCGAGAACTCTTCGCCGGCGGCGCGCCTTATTGAATAGCAAGTCGGAGGAAGAGAAGCAGGCCTTAGTGGTCGATGGCTCGGGCAGTAGCCGGATGCCATTATTATTATTATTCTCGGACAGCAGCTCGTCCATTTTGTGGGCGTTCTCAATGCTGTGGGCTGTCATTGCCGCAAGTACATAGTCTGTGTCCGGATCTTTGTGTATATATATCTCAGGCTCTTTAACTCAAATATGTTGCACTTGGCGCGCGCTCATTCACACACACAGCACGCGTACGCACGCACGCACCAATGCAAGCATGCGGAGTTGCGCGCGTAAAACGTAAATGTCGCCTGCGTATTCGTATTCCTTTTCGTATTCGTATTCCAGTCCTTGACGGGCAGCTTTTCGTTTCTGGCGCGTGTCCTTGTATTGGTATCTACTATTACTACACGCGAGCGAAACACTTTGGAATTTTATCCGCGCGTGTAACTTTCATTGAACTTTTCTGCTTTTTGTAGTCGTGTGTGAGAACGTCAATCAAAAGAGCGAGAGAGAGTGAGAGAGCGAGAGAGCAAGAGAGTGGGAAAGAAAAGCTCGTCGTACGCAAAGTTGGCTGCGGCTGTTGTTACGCTGTTATGCTGTTACCGTTACTTATTTCTTTTGTTTTTTTTTTTTTTCTTTAGCACAAATCACTTAAATTGTAGCTAATGTTGCCTTGTTTTCCACTTTCGATTGCAATGTTCTTTGAGTTTTTGGCATTTTGTAGACTTAATTTGCATATTGCTTGACAAATTGCTCACGAGCGTGCACATTTCTTTTTTTCTTCACAATTTATTCGTGTTAGCAAACCGTTAGCAGCCGAATATGTGGCTTGGTGTAGGGGTGGCAAAAGCTCGCCGGATGCTCCCTCCACCCGATGCTACTGCTGTGCCAAAAAGCGCCTCAACGTACATGTACATACTAAAAATCGGAAAATTTTCACTGTACGTAGGAGAAAATTTTTAATGCCACATCAGAGTTAATATTTCCACGTATGCAAAACGCGAATTCCTTGTTAATTTAAGCACCACTTATTATTTGAACTATTGATTTCACCTTTTAGTTCAAGCACTCGATTTGCTTACACAACTGTTCAACTCGATTTGTAACACACTTTTTTGTATTTATAACAATTTTGATTTAACTTTTGTAAGGAATTTGAAGCTGGTGAGATGTGTGCATGAAAATTTTTGAGAATTTCTACCCAAATAGGGATACAAAAAGTAAAAGTCGAATTTTTTCAAAGCGCCACCCGCTGCTCCAGGCTTTAATATCGATCTGCGCTGCATTCACGACAAGACTGAACTGCAATTTCAAACTCAATTTCTTCGCAGCGTTTCCAATGGATAACAAAAGCTCCGACAGCGTTTTCACAGAGTACCAGCACGCGGCTTAGGCGACATAACTTAGACGCTACACTGAGTGCAAATTGTACACGAATAACAATCATTTGCACTGTACAACAAGGCAGTAAACTATTCTAATAATTAAACAATGCCTGCTTGCTTGGGTGAAAATACTCTCGGTTGTATACTCTTGTTCGCGCCTGGGTGTATACTACGAATAAGCCCGACTGCCGTGTGTAGGGCATCAGAATGCCAAAAATTAAAAGCTTCCTTACTTCGACGAGCCATGCATATGCGTACTACTAACATACATATGCACAGACACACATACAGGCACGCACACACACAGAAGCACACTCACACACATGCGTAATGAGCGCTGAACACGCAGGTTCATAACCTGCACCACTTGAAGCGTATTAGAAGGGACAGAATATATGTACATACACTTATACAGGGACGTCTAGGACGACCCGTGTAAATGCCTTGACATTTATTACACACTTCACAACTTCGACAGCTCAGCGTCAAATTCAATTTGCATTTGCTGCTGCATGTGTGTGTGGGTTGCTTGACCACATGGGTTTCTGCACGGGAACTCTTGGGTTAATCGCGTCAAATATGCAACTTTGCACGAATCTCGAAAGGCGGGCACGATTATATTTGATGTACATATTAATGTACATGTATTAACGTTACACTCTGCACATTTCTTCAGCATTAAAATCACGTACTAACCAAAACGCAGAATGAATTTTAAATTTTATTATAATAATTTCCCATTTCGACAAGAATTATACCCGCAATACCGCGTAGTCCTTTCGGACGCTTAAACAGACTGCTGCAATGTGCTGCAGCGACTGAGTGTTTCATAGCAAGAAGCTTTACAGCGTGTGCAGACCGGGTGATTCGGGCTAGCGGTGTCAGCTGAGTGCGGCGCCTTCAACAACTTGCTATAAATAGATATAATTATGTTAATTTTATATTATATTAATTTCAATTCAGGGTGAAATTTTGAAAGTACTGCATACTTTCGTATACATATACATACAAATTGTGAATTATTGCCATACACTTTTTGGGGATTTGACGTAAGTAAAAAAGTTTCGACCATGGTGCTTTAGACAAACTCCATCGATTTGACTAAAACATAGTCACGCAAATGCCAAGATATGCAAGCCCTTGTCTGAATTATGGGTCAACTTTTATGATTATGTATAAAACTAATTAAATTTTTGCAATTGGAAGGGAGGCAAGAAGTTAGACACGGCATTGCACACTAATAACAGCCCTGTTTACAGTTTTTAAATACAATTTGTGATCAGTGTAAATAAAAGTTATCGAACCAGTGCTGTAAAGCTCTACGCAGCAAGAACAGAAAATAACAAACAAAGCGCAGAGAAGCTTGCCGGACGGGAAATCTCCGCTGCTCGCGCCAGAGTTGACAGCTGTGCGATTTATCAGAGAGCTTATCGAGCACTTTACAAGGCGTGTGTGCGCACCTGGGTGTGCACCTGTGGTTGTGTGTATTTACACAAACAAGAATGAAAACGCGCTAATTTAAAGTGCACTCGAAGCGGACAATTTGACTAAAGTTTCTTTTGTTAATACCAGCACCTTACGTAATGCTCTCAGGCACTCAACTGGGCCGTCTGGCAGCAGGCCGTCTTTTGCCGGGACTTGTGGCTAGACATGCCCACACGGAGCGCAAGGTGCGGGTCAAAGATGCCGGCGACCTGCACATTGTCGAATCCGGCAGTGGATCACGCAGTTTGCTGCTGATGCCCGGAGCTCTGGGCTCCGCCTGGACGGACTTCAAGCCACAAATAGAGCAGTTGCCCAAGCTGCTGCCGGATCACACAATAATCGCCTGGGATCCGCCTGGCTATGGCAAATCGGTGCCACCGCAGCGCAAGTTCGGGCTGGAATTCTTCCGAGAGGATGCAGAGGCTGCCGTTAATCTGATGCGTGCCTTGAACAGGCCCCGGTTTTCGGTGCTGGGCTGGAGCGATGGCGGCATAACAGCCCTAATACTCGCCGGACGTCATGCAGATGCCGTGGAAAAGCTGGCCATTTGGGGTGCCGGCGCCTATTTGAATGCAGATGAGGTGAAGGCGCTAAAAGCGATCCGGGACGTGGCCAAGTGGTCACCACGCATGCGTGAACCTATGGAGCAGGTGTATGGCGCCGAGCGCTTTGCCCAGCTGTGGGCAGAGTGGGTGGACGCCGCCTGCGCTTTCTATGCGCTGCGCGATGGCGACTTCTGCCGCACGGAAGTGGGCCAAGTGAAGGCGCCAACATTTATACTGCACGGCAAAAAGGATCCCATGATTGCGGCCGAGCACGTGCCCTGGCTAAAGCAGCGATTGCCACTGGCACGCTACCACGAGTTTCCCGACGGCAAGCATAACATCCATTTGCGCTATGCGGCGGAGTTCAACCAGCTCGTGGCCGAATTCTTCGAAGGAAAATAAAGCACGAAGGGATTTGCTTATGGAAAATTTATTGCTTTATGTTTTGGAACAGAGTGTTTACTTGATGTGGGCGCGAATGGTGGGCACATAGTCGTCGTACTGCGCCTGGAAAAAGTTGCCGGCAACGGGCGTGCCAAAGCTGTATTTGGCCACGTAGTCGCGGATCTTCACGTTGAGACGACCCTCCAGGGTGCTAAAAGGGGAAGAACAAATGGGATTACTTGAAGAATTGGGATATATTTGAGGAGCACCCACGTCTTGTTGATGAACTTGTCGCTGGTGATCTTGTCGCCCTGCTTGAACACGAAGAAGACGTAGCGATGCAGGCCGCTGCCCTCGGCTGGGCCGGCGCCCACATACTCAGCCAGGACCTGGCCGTCGGCGACCTTGTTGCCGGGAATGTTGATGACGGCCCAGTGGAGTACTTCACGCATCTTGGGATCGGTGCGGCTGGGCGCATCGGGATCGACCATGAGCAGAGTGTACAAAGCGCCAGCCTCGGCATCCCAGCTAACGGTGGGCTCATCCTTCACCTGTGTGGGCGTCAGCTCCTTGCCCAGATCCACCTGTGCGCCGGACGGATAGGTAACCGTTGCCCGCGCCTTGGGCTTCTCGTCAACAATGTCGGGAATAATGCCGCTGGTGTCCATGGTGCTCTGTGATGCTCTCTGTCTGGCGTTGAGGCAGTGACTCTGCCTTCGATGCCGCGCCGTGCGCTATTTATCGATCCGGGCCGGCTGGCCAACGCTTCCGCTGCCAAGTCATCGTTGGCTCTAATCAGTTTTGTGCACTTTTGGCTAGATAAAGATAAAGACAAAGATAAAGATAAAGACACCCAGCTGATACGGGCCCGGTTGACTTTATTGACCAGAAAAATGACTACAGCATATTGCATAAATTTTGGAGTCCAAGCTAGCCGGTAATATCCTTATTCCGTATGGGCACATAGTCATCGTATTGCGCCTCATAGAAATTGCCGGCAATGGGTTGGCCCAATCCATGCTTGGCTGCAAACTGGCGGGTACTGAAGTTGAGGCGACCCGTGCGAGTGCTAAAATGGGCAACAAGATATCAGTAAAACCCGGAGCAGGAGCAGTCTCTTACCCACCGTCTGTCTATGTGCAGCGACTCATCAATCCTTTCGCCTTGGCGGTACAGCAGAAAGATATAGCGATGCAATCCGGTGCCCTTGGGCGGGCCCGAGCCGACGTACTCCGCCAAAGTTTGGCCCGCACCCAATTGGTTGCCCGGTATATTGACCACGGCCCAGTGTAAGATCTCACGGAACTTGGGATCTGCGCGACTGGGTGCATCGGGATCCACCATCAACAGCGTATGCAGAGTTGCTTCATCGCCCTCCGCGGCCTCCCAGGTCACAAGCGGCTCGTCCTTTACCTGGGTGGGCGTCAGCTCGTTGCCCTCCTGGACAGCGAGCTCACCCGCATAGCTGACCTTCAGCTTGTCCTTGGGCGGCGCCTCATCGAGCACATCGGGCACAAGAGCATTCATATTTTCGTCTTTTACTGACCAGGCGACGTGTAAAATAAAATCTCAGTCGGGCGATATCGATTTTCGTTATCGCCGTGGTAATTTCGTAATTCGATACGGTGATTCAGACAAATGATAAGGCAAAAGGTGGACAGCTCCTTCTCCTCAGCACACACATGCATTCATATATATGTATATAATATAATTCCAATTAATTAATATCCAAACAAAATTGCCAGGCCTGGTGACAACTATCGTCGTCTTTATAAATCAAAAATGAACTTTGATCCGCGCAAGTTTTTCCAGATAGTAGCCCATGCACACGGCCACAGTCTAATATTTTATAGGTCTTTTAAAGATATCTTTATATATATATATATATATATAGACCTCCCCATACCCAGGCAAATTCATTTGATTTTTGACTGTGTGCATTTATCAGTTGATTCCTAATTAACTTTAGCTGGGCCATAGATATATACATTTATATATATCAAATCAGTTGACACACATCACAACTATCGTCTATATTTTATATAAAATGCTTGCTCATTTATTTGAGTATATGCATATCTTGCTATTTATTTATTAAACAATTCGATTAACACTTTGAATATCAATATTATTAGCGCGCTCTGACAGAGTTTTTGTCTATCAAATACATCCATGGGGGCAAACATTTAATATAATAATACATAAATCATAATTAGGTGTAAAAAGTGAGATTTAAGACGCGCGTAGTCTAATAAAATTACATAATATAATATTGTAAATAATAATATAATATAATGGTATGTTTAATATGTGCCTATATATATGCATACATAGTTTAGAGGATGGGCCAACTATAGTAAATATATGCATTTAAGGCCCGTTGCTGAAGAACTAAATTTGGAATATGCGACAACATTTGTTCAATTTGATTGAGAGAAATTCCAATAACATTGAATATTGGCAAAAGCTTTAAATTCTCTTTCTTTTGTCGTCCTTGTGATACATTTGCTCGATTGCTTCCGGGAGGCCTGAAGTTGGGCTTTAACAGCGTGTCTCGTAGAGACCGCTGCGTCCGATGTAACGCACCCATTTGACCACATCGTGATCGGAATAGTTAAGCTTGGGCTCGAACACTTTCAGGTAACGCACCTTGAAGCCGGACGGTGCAAATGGCACCTCGAAGTTCATGGATATGGGCGGGCGTGTCCATTTCTTTTTAGTGTCCGTTTCGAGCAGTTCAATTTCGGCTGAAAGTTGGGTTTCCTTCATTCCCGCCATCCGTTTGATTTTCCACACAATCGCATTCTCCGAGGCCTTGTACTTGGCCTTGCCTTTCAGGCAAATCAACTGCACGCCCGAGGTGTTGAGCGGTGTGGGTATCTTAACCTCGATCTTCTGGCCAAGCAGCGAGGGCTTAAAGTTAGACTTCAGCACCACCTTGGCCTCCATTTTGGTGCGGCCCACCTCGCGTACCAGGGGTATCACACGGAACGGCAGCGATATGTCCTTAGTTGTACGGTAGCGCATCAGCTCAAATTCACCGTCCGGCGGTATGAAGCTAATCGAATGCTCCGTTTCAAATTTGCTCAGCTTGACGCATTGATGGAACTGGCAATCGTCAATTACGACCACCGGCTTGCCGGAGCGCGATGTCTCCGCCTCGGAATTGCCCGAGAGGCCCCTGCCCTTAGACTCCATGACAATTTTATCGTTGATTCCAAACTTGCATTCGGGCATTCCTAAAAATCGAATTGATTGAAATCGAATTGAATTAATTATGGTAATGATCGAAGAAGTGGATCGGAGCTCACCTGACAAATACGACTTCATGACTACTTTGCCGGCAACGTGTGCCGATAGCACCTGACCCTGGGGGCTCATCAGCAGATTAACATACTCGAGCACATCAAGGAACAGTTCGTTGCGTCGATATTTGATGCCCTCGCGTCGCCAGCCAATCTGGCCGGTAACCTGTGAGGTTATTTGCATTTGCTCCTCCTTGGTGGCTGATTTGATGCCCTGCTGCGTAATGAACGTCTTTAGTGTACCCGAGTCGGTATTCTGCGGATAACCGAAATCCAAGATCTCGTCCAGCAGCTCATAGATGAGCACAAAGTTATTCTTGATGTTCTCCTCAGAGATCTTACCAAAGTAAGACTGCATCACCTCAATGATCTTGAGCAAGAACTCAAATACCATCGCAGCATTCACATTTTGCTTGGTGACCGCAGCCAGCCAAATGTTGGCACGCTAAAAGAGGAGGGGAGGGGAAGGAAGAATGGATTAGAGGCTGGGCGGACATCCGGCTGATGTGGCACGTACCTTGATGTGGAAAAAGCTGGTTCTGGCAATGTTGGTCACCGGCGAGCGCACCTGCTGCCTGGCATGGATGACGTTGACTCGGAAAGCGTCCACGGCGTTGCGTCCGATGTCATCGCGATAAACTCGGGAGATTAAAACCTCGCCTTTGTGGTTGTAAACAAACAAGCCACCAATCATATTTGCGCTCTCTAGTTGCGGAAGGAAATCTTTTGAAAATTCGTTCTCTACACGATAAGCACTAGTCGGAAACCAATAATTTTCCACAAATTTGGGGCCTCTTATCACTTTTCCACTAAAAAATCAATTGCTCTCGCACTCCCCTTTTTTCGATAAGCAGCTGTACATCGCTACTATCGATAGAAAATTGCTCAGGTTTTCAACACTGTCAAAAAATCATCGCAGCCAACTTTAACTTGTACATGACTCTGCGGCTTTGACGAAAACAAATTTCATCTTTACTCGGAAATAATTTCCCTGTTTGATTTAATCGAGACATAAAGTTATAACAAAAACATGCCTGCCGAAAACCTTGAGGAACAGGGTCTGGAGAAGAACCCCAACCTGGAACTGGCTCAGACAAAGTTCCTTCTGACGCTTGCGGAGCACAAACAAGATGCGGCACTCAAGACCAAGCTGCTGGATGCAATACGCGCAGATAATATGGCTCCATGGTACGAGCACATCTGCACTGAGCTAAACTGGAATGTGGACAAGGATTTGCTGGCACGTATGCGCGAACAGAATCGCATTGCAATTGAACAGTTGGACGCTGCCATTGAGGATGCCGAGAAGAATCTCGGGGAGATGGAGGTGCGCGAGGCCAATCTTAAGAAATCGGAGTACTTGTGCCGTATTGGCGACAAGGCAGCTGCCGAGACGGCCTTTCGCAAGACCTATGAGAAGACCGTGTCGTTAGGACACCGCCTGGACATTGTCTTCCATTTAATTCGTCTGGGCCTGTTCTATTTGGATCACGATTTGATTACACGCAACATCGACAAGGCCAAGTATCTGATCGAGGAGGGCGGCGACTGGGATCGTCGCAACCGTCTCAAGGTATACCAGGGCATCTATTCGGTTGCCATTCGCGATTTCAAGGCGGCAGCCACCTTCTTCCTGGACACCGTCAGTACCTTTACTTCCTACGAGCTCATGGACTATCCAACCTTTGTACGTTACACCGTATACGTGGCCATGATTGCGCTGCCCCGCAATGAGCTCCGCGAAAAGGTGGTCAAGGGCTCCGAGATTCAAGAAGTGCTGCATGGCCTGCCCGATGTGAAGCAGTTCCTGTTCTCGCTCTTCAACTGCCAGTACGAGCAGTTCTACGTGTATCTGGCGCAAGTGGAGAAGCAGCTACGTGCAGATTACCTGGTGCATCCGCATTATCGCTATTATGTGCGCGAGATGCGTATTCTGGGCTATACGCAACTGCTGGAGTCGTATCGCTCGCTCACGCTCCAGTATATGGCCGACTCGTTTGGCGTTACCGTTGACTATATCGATCAGGAGCTGGCACGTTTTATTGCCGCTGGACGCTTGCATGCCAAGGTGGATCGCGTGGGCGGGATTGTGGAGACGAATCGGCCGGATAACAAGAACTGGCAGTATCAGGCGACCATTAAGCAGGGCGATCTGCTGCTCAATCGCATACAGAAGCTCAGCCGTGTTATAAATATTTAAGTTCTTCATTCTGCTGTAGCATAGATATACTCATACACACCCAAGAACATATAAATTTTATTAAAAAATTCAAGTTATTACAATGTAAAACTATAATTAATGTGAAACGATACAGCTTAATGTAGACAGCAGAAAATGTTTCTTAAATTCGCTAATCAAATGTAAGAACATTTGCATTTATTTATTAACTAAACTCTTTGGAATTTGTTTGGTATCGTTCTTTTTTTTTATTTGAGTATTATTGCATGCTTTCCGTTTGTACTTAATTTGGTCTTTAAATGTATATTTAAATCTCCTCAGCGAAAATACGCTAGGTGGCGTTTTGCTTATCGAAATTTGCTGCCCTTGTTATCGACAACATTGCAACGCTGGGTTCGCGCATTTAAATCATTTCGAAAGTACAATATCAGTGCACATCAGCCCCTTCGTTTTTACACTTCCAATCATGCTCTTTAGTTAGATCATTGCCAATATTGTCATTATCTGTTTGTTTGTTGTTGCTAATGCAACTGCGTGCCATGTCCTCCAGCGCAGCAGAGTTTCGAATACCGCAGTCGAGCGGTTCTTCGCTTTCGTATTTAAGTGCCTCATTTGCCCGCTGCTGCTGCTGTTGCTGATTGGCTTCTGCCGATGCCTTGGCCAGATCATGCAGATTCTGCACCACTTCATCTATTATAGGGGACCCCGGAGTTAGCGCGCCTGGTACCATAGCTATGGGTGGCAGGGCACCCAGCCCGCCTGGATTGTGACGTCGCATTGCGGCTAAATGGTTCGTGCTCAAATTGATCAACGCATTCATCATGACCTTGTTGCGTTGATAGTCCTTGCGCAAATGCTGCCGTATCTCCGTGTGGCAATGTTCGTTGTTAGTTACTATGATCTCGCCCGTGTCAGTCGTGGTAACTCGTGCCTTGCAATTAAATTTGCGTGACAGATTGCACTGCCAGTATTTTTTATCCTTACGCACGTACTGAATGCCAAAAGTGTGACCGTCGTGGACCAGCAACGGTTTGCCGCGCTGACTCAGCATAAACTCGAGCTTGCCTTGAAACCAGTGTTCGCCGGGTGCGACTACAATATACACAAGATTGGCAGGATTGAGCGCATGTACATGTGTGGGTGTGTGTGCTTGTGTGTGTGTCTAGATGTGTATGAGTGTAGGTTATGTTTGATGGCTGGACATTCACAAATGAGCCCCGTTATTATTATTGTCTCATGCAAGCCCCAGGATGTAAGACTTACCTGTTAACACGCTAACGCTACACTTAGGCCCGCTTTTCTCAATGTCTAGTTTCGCTCTCTTCTTACATAATACAGTTTCTGATAAAAAAAAAAAATTGCAAAATTGCGTTTTAAATAAGGACGTCACGTTACAGAAGTTTGAAGAGATATTTTTTGATACTTTCTAACACGATCAAAAAAGTGTGCCCAACTGGCAGTAGTTAAATTGACATTAAAAAATCCAAATGCCGACACTAATAGACAGATTTACTGGACATTGGAAAAACGCGCCAAGTTTGAGAGAAAAGTTCAGATCGGATGTGAAAAGCTATCGCAATTGGTATGTATGTTTCATTTGCATTTGCATTTGCATTTTACATTCGATATACATGCCCGCAGGTAGTACTATATACATTGATGTACATACAATCAAATTGAATTTCGTCTATAAAAACACTAACTAAGCGGCTCCAGCCGCAATAAATTATCGTTGTCTTATTAACTAGAAACGGCGCCCTCAGATGTTCTCGATTTTAAAATTGTGACTGGCACTGCCGGGTGATATCGTTATAGAGTCGATGACGTGCGCTGCCGTGCCCGCTGCGCTCTCCGCCGATCCGTCCGCGCTCGCATTGATGTCCATGTGCCGCTGCTCCGTATCCGCTGGCTGTGGCGGCGGCGGGGGGCTCTTCATGCCTAGCGGCGACTCGGTCGCATGCATCGATTGGCTGCTCCTGTTCGACTGCGGACTCTGCTGCTGCAGCTGCGCGGGCGACAGAGGCAGCAGCGATGGCCCTGGCCCCACGCCCAGTTCCAAATGGTGCGGCGAATGTTGCTGCTGTTGCTGGTGATGATGTGGATGCGGCTGTGCCTGCATGGGCAAATGCATCAGATTCGGATTGTGCATTATGTTTTGTATGACGCTGCTGGACGGTGGAGGCGGCGGCGGCGGCGGCTGCGGCGGACCATTGGCCATGCTATGCTGCTCCATGCTGACGTGCGACGAGTTGTGATGCTGCACGAGAAGATTGGGCAGCGCCTGCGTCAGATGTTGATGATGATGATGATGGTGATGCTGATGTGAGCCGGCTGGCGACGCTGATGTCTGGTTAGCGAATATGTTGGCACCCAGGCGCGCGCCGGATCCATGATTAATTTCCACGACGGCTGCTGCCGGGGCAGGCGTCACATGACTGCCCTCAGAGACGTTGTAGCCTGCCTGGCCGGGATTAGGATTGGGCGTAACCGTCACCGAGCTACTGCTACTGGGCGTGCCGGTATTGCTAGCGCCGCCGCGCATATGGGGCATGTGATTGTGAACTCCGGTGGCGGATATAATCCGGCCCAGATGCGTGATGCAGCGCGCCCGACACATGCTGATGCGATAGGACTTGCACAGCCAGTATGTCTTCATGCCCTGCTGCGTGGCGACCGTGTTGTTGCGATTGAAAACGCAATTGCCGTGCAGCAAGGATGTGGTGGACAACATGACCATGTTACTGCCATCTGATCCATCCAAATGGGTGCAGCGTCCGCAACAAATATACGTACAATTGTGGAAGATTAGTGGGGCAAATCTTGCGGGTTAACCAAACAAATGCTTAACGCCTAGACGGAGGATGTTATGTACAAGGAGAGGCTACGAAAATTCGTTTTGGGTAAAATTTATTGCCGGTGGGGCAAAGCATGTCCAGGCAGCGAGCTGTGCAGATAACGCTGGATAATCCAGAGATGGAAACCATGCGCGCACGTGAAACACAAGTGAATTCAAGTGGGATAGGTTCCTATTTGGTTATAATATCAAAAGTATCTATTATCATTGTCGAGTTGGCTTTAAGCTCGGTTTTTATCCCAGTTTTAAGCCAATATCGCATGCGTTCGTGAAATACAATTGAATTCAAATGTGATAATTTCCTATTTGGTTTATAACGTCGAATTGGCTTAAAGCCCGGTTTCCATCCCTGTTTTAAGCCAATATTAACACTGTGGGTTAGTAATAAGAGATGGAAACCACGTGCGCTCGTGAAATACAAGTGAATTCAAATGTAATAATTGCCTATTTGGTTTATATCGTCTTGTAGGCTTAAACGTCAGTTTCCATCCCTGTTTTAAGCCAAAATGATCACTGCGGATTAGTAGTAATTCATGATGGATGAAAGGATGAACCAAAGAATTATAAACTAAAATCGAGAATGCATGCAACAGAGTGACAGAGAGAGAGAGAGAGAGAAAGAGAGAGGGAGAGGGGAAGAGGAAGAGATGTGTTGACACATAGATGGTTAGTTGGAAAGCGTCACCTACTTGATGGTATGTCCATGTGATTGGCAAAGTTCTTGGAATAGTCGCTGGGCATATACAGATCATTTGGATATTCGGTGGCGGGGCCAACGTTGACGCCCAGGCTGCTGCCGCCACCGCTTCCGCTCCCGCTGCTTCCGCCGCCATTGTTGTTGCCTATGCCGACAGCCACGCCGGTCACATTGCTGGAGCTGCTGGCGCCGCTGCTGTTGCCCGCCTTGTAGAAGTTATTGTAGTCCAGATTGAAGGCCGGCGCAAACGGATTGCGCAGCGAGCCGCCAGCTGTTGAAGGACCGGAACTGCCGCTCGCTCCAGCCTGATGATGATTCTCCGCCTCGCGCTTCAGGCTGCCCATATCGTAGCGTGGCTCCACCATGGAGATGTGCGGTATGGGCGGCAGAAAAAACTCTTCAGTGCCCAGAGCATTCTCCATGCCGCCGCCGCCGCTGTCCGCATTGTCGATGCTCTCGCCACCCGGCTGCTCTGTCAGTGATCTGCGCAACTGCTTGCGCGAGTAAATGGACAGGGAGTCGCTGCTGAATTCTGCCGGCGCCGGGCGCTTGCTCTGCATATACATGGGCAAACCCGCATCCGCTCGACTGCCGCTCGGCGAGGTCATCGGCGTGCGCGAGCTGCCCTTCGGCTCAGCCTGATCCGCATCCGCCTTGCTGTGGTTTTGGCTGCTGGCGCTGCTGCTGCTGTTGGGCTCGTCGCCGCCGGCAGCATTTGTCGCTTGACTGGTGGACTTCTCTGATGCACTGGAGCCGGGCGGGCTGTTCGAATTGGTCGCCAGCCCCTTGATCTGCAGCAGCTGGCCGATCTTCATAAAGGACTGTAGCTCCGTGTGCTTGACATTCACGACGCCCTGGTACATAAACTCCAGCAGCTCGCACATGATATTGAAGCTCACATCTTTGAGTATGACTGAAAAAGGCGATGCAGAAAGTGACCAGACATTAGAAAATATATCTCAACAGGAGTTTATTATTTTCCGGCATTGGGTTATAGAAATTGAAATAGAAATAATAAGAAATTGGAATAGAAGTAATTAGAAATTGCATCAGAAATAATTAGAAATAATTCGAAATTAGAGAAAAAAAATGCTTAACAGGAGTTTGTTATTTTTCGGCATTGGGTTTTTTTTTTTAATTCCAATTACGTTCTATATTTAAATATATTTGTTGATGCGACGCAAACATCATCATCAGCTTGAAAGGAGGTCACATTCATAGTGGAGATGTTATCATCGAAGCGCTCAAATACTAAATCAATACATAAAAAAAAACACGCAGCTACGATAAGAAATCTGAAAAAAACTTAAATACAAAAACTCAACAACAACGGCAATAATTATTAAATAAGTAGCATGTCATATCATCGCCGGCAACTGGCAACTGGCGCTGCCTTCGACACGGCCTATGGAACTGTCCGACTATTTATGTTTCTGTTTCTACTACTCTGGAGCTGATCTCGGCACAGTGGTCCACATAGCTTGACCCGGAGGGCAGTATTCCAATTAGAATATAATATCATTTTGCTGAAAGCTCTTTTAAGCTCATAGAGAAAACTTTATATTTCACAAAAATAAGCTTTAATCGAGAATTAAATGAAAAAAATCAACTGACGAATAGGAATCCAGATACTCAACCTAAATCCTTTTTGAAAAATGATTTTTAATGTTTAATATGCTAATAAAAATCTATAATTATTAATTAATTTCATATATTAGGTGCTCAGTAAAAGCTCCTAAAGAAAGCTTTTTTTAAGGAAAATGTGATTTAATAGAGAGTAAACTCTACATTTATTTTTAAACACACCAAAATAAATATCAAGCAAAAGCTTGACCCGGAGGCCAGCAGAAAATATATTAATTGGAATCTTATATATTTTCTGTAAAAGCTCCTTTAAACTCCAAAGGGAAGTTTTCTTTTTAAGAAAAGTGTGATTTAATAGAGAATTAACTGGATAAAAAAATATCAAAATGAATATCAAATCACATGAATATGATATAATTTGAAATAGTTGTTGATTTTTGTGAACCAAAGTTGATTTTATGGAAAACATAATATTAATTCTCAACAAAATGAGATAATGTCAGATTTGTAGGTTAAAGTTGAAATATGTGTACACAAATTTGAATGCAGACTTAAAAGAGCTGCAACATTTGTCAATGGAGCCAATCTCTCATTTTCTTAAAATGAAATATAATGGAACCAACTCCCAATAAATCGAACCCAATCGAGACACATTCGATCCACTATGCCGCATCTCAATACGCTGGCATCAACATCTAGTTAAAATAAAAACAATATTATCACTTGTTCTCAATAACAATATTGTATATATGAAATCTCGAGCTCGACTGGTCAACTGTTGCTTAATCTCATCTGGGCTCACGACGCCGTCATCCTATCCCGTGCCTATCTACGACTCGTATCTGTGCGTCGCCACGTCCGTGTTTGCTAAGTATTGCAAAGATCAAAATCCGGGCAATACTACCTATATATATATACACATAGGAGAGGGCTGCAGCCTGTAACCCTCAACGATCTCAAAAGCCTGACGGCTGATCCCCCATAGATACGCGGCGATAGTTGCAGCTAATCATATATTGAAAACTTATTTTCAATAAAAATAAATTTATAATCAGCGATAAATGTAGAAATCTGTACAATATTTGTCGCAGTACAGAGATACAAAATAAATATATATAGAGACGTGTCGTGGATAGGGACAAAGTGTCGCACAAAGAGATCCACAGACACAGCATGATCGAATCTTCGAGTCATATAAATGTACTGAAACGAATTCTGTAGATAAACTTTTGTCTAAAGTTCACGGAGAACGTGATAAATACGCGTAGCATGCTGCGGTTGCTGCTGTTGATAAGAAGAACATCCACCAAAAAATCTACAAGCACAATTCGGCCTGACGATCAACGATCAACGATTGTCAATTGTTGCCTCTAGCTGGTTGTGTATGTTTAATATATTATGTACACACATAATGTACATATAAAATATTGTGTACATATGTGTATAGAGGTCGGCAGAAGGAGAAGCAGAGCAGAGCACACAAATCGCCCGCCTTGCAGGACAGTCTTTTACGAAAGATTCTTAAGACTGATCTGATCTGATGTGATCTCTACTGGATAGTAAAGATATATATTTAAGTTGATCTGATCTCACTTGATCTTTACCGATCTCTACTTTCCCCACGGCTGTAGGGGCTCTGCTGATCTCTACTGATATTGCCCCACAGCTATATATCGCCACAGCTTACCCGCCATAAAGAACAGTGTGTTACAATATATATTTAAGTTGATCTGTTCTGATCTCTATTGATATCTACCTATCTTAACTCTACTACTCGCGCCACAGCTTTAAATCGGCAGCTCGTCATGCAGCACAGTCAGCCCTCGATATACATACATTCAAGTTTATCTGATCTGATCTTGCCTGCTATAGATCGCCACAGCAGGCGGAATACAGTCCCCAGCTCGCCCTACAGAAATGTCAGTTACGATATACTTGATTTAAGTTCTTATTTTTTTGTGCCCACACCCATTGTGAAGAGCACGCCCACTTGGTGCTGGCGACGACCAATAAGATTGCAGTCGATCGCTTTTGAAAGCAATTTTATTTTATGATTATGATAAATGTTTATCGAATCAGAACGCCAATTGGTTTGGTTTTTGTTTTTGTGCATGTGCCTTGTGCTGGAGTGGGCTGTCGCATTTCGACAATGTCGACTAACTGCCACTAACATTAATAAATAAATGTTATCTTGAAACGCCATATTAATCAGGCAGTCGTAGTGCCAGTTAGGTGTAGGCTAGGTGTAGGGCTAGTCTACCACCTGTGTAAAGGTGGGAAGAGCGTTTCACCACGATATAACACTATCCGCAATCAAGGATATTTATACAACTGGAAAGCCAATTCAACTTATTATATATATATAGTAACCGCTTGTGATGTCAATAAAAATCTTGGAAAGATGGAAAGTTTGTCGCAAGCATTTTTTCTTAACACTTATTGGTTTATTATTATTATTTATTATTTATTACTTATTTTTTATTATTTAGTATCTATTCGCAATTATCCATTATCCATTATTTATTATTCATTATTAATTATTTATTATTATTATTTATTATCTATTATTTACGACATATGATCCATTATTCATTATGTACTATTCATTATTCATTATTTATTTATTTATTATTTATTATTCATTAGTTAGCTTTCATTATTAATTATCTATTTATTTACTTTTTACTCGGTTATTGATTTTTCATTATATTCTCCCGCACCTTAGTGGTAAATTGAGATGGAACGTTAAATTCGTTCAATCGGTTTCAAATTAAATTTCTCTCCTCTACACAAAAAGTTAATGAATGAAAATTAATTATTTAAGAAAATCAGTCATTAATGAATATCATTTTATATATATGCATATACTTTTAGTTCTTTATGTTTGTAGGCCTATCCTTTTTTAGGACATGCTGGTTTTTTCTAGTGTATGGCCTAATACCTAAGATTGGGCATTTTTTGGCTTAGGTGTTTCAACGTATGTGAGCATTAGCCAAGGAATTAGCCGATAAGTAAATCTATTTGTTGCTACTGCCTTTTGACTCATAAATTTTGAGTATTTGTCAACACAAGGGCTCCATAAAAAACTAAAGAAGTTTCATATGCTGAATGTCAAAGTCTGATATTATATGATACACTTATAACATGTAGCCCCGTTAAAATACGTAACAAAACGACCAATGACTGCTGGAAGACAGGGGCGTACTTTAAAAGGGTGATGCAAAAAAAAGGGGAATTCTAATGCAGAATGAGTAAAATAATACTTTTAATTGTCCTTAACTAAAAATTAAGGTTTTAATTTTATTTTATTTCCCTTTTACAAATAAATTATAAATTTATAGGCAACCCCCGTTGTCTACCCCCATTGAAATTGACAGCTGAAAGGCAGAGGCGTGCTTCGAAAGGATAAGATAAAAAGAAAACCTGAATGCAGAATGAGTAAAATAATACTCTTAATTGCCCTTAACTAAAACATAGGGTATTTCTTAAACTATTTATAAATTTAGTTCACCCCCATTTACTACCCCCATTGAAGTTTTAGTGCTTCCTGAATACGCCGTCCCTGCTACTGGTTTCTGGGCCATAAAAATAACATTGAGTTTGATATTTACGACAAGTTCACCCGGTCGATATTATATTATCTTCATTTATTGCGGCTAATATCAGCAACAGCCAGAGCCAGAGCCAGAGCCCCAGCCCGATCCCTGGAGCACTTGAAGAGGAAACACGGTGGTTCTCGTCTGGCATTGTAATTGTATTTTGGGTTTATTAAGTGCCAATAGAAAACTTATCTCTGCCCAACTGGCCATAAGTCGAAAATCTTATTTTACGATTTAAAATTATACAAAAAAAAAAAAATAAGAAAAACTGATAAACATTCGAGCTCATACTTATTGGTGTTTATGCCAATAATAAAAAATGGGAAATAGATAATATACGAGGATTAGCGTTGTATGAGGCCACAAAATGGCGTAGATATTAGAAGTGCCCACCTCTTTTTAAGTATTTTGTATATATCGATCGCAACACGGCAACAACTAGAACAACGACAACGGCTATATCAATATACAATATACAATACGGCAATTCATATCTCGCTCCGGTAACCAACTCAAGCCTCCGAGCACCCCTAATCAATATCTCGAAAAAGTCTTCAAGTGCCTGTCGACTAAAGATGGGCGCGTGTCGAAGTACAACTCACGACTTATCTAAAAAATAAATGCATTTCATAGATAAATTAATTTAGACGGTTGCCTTAAGACTAAAAGAACGTAAACTAAAAAATATCAAGTTCGCCAAAATTAATGAATAATACAATTTTGCGAATTGTGTCGAAATTGTTAACGAGATCTATATGTTCCATTTCCTTTCCTTTGTGTGATCTCTCACGATGTTTGATGTTTGTCGTTGTCTTAATTAGACACGTCCGAACAGACATCCAGCTCTATTTTAGACACTTGAAATGCACACGAAAATAATTCACGACTTATTGAAAAAATAAATAGATTGCATTGCATAAATAAATTTATTTATTTTAGTTCGAGTCAACTAAAAATTGGAAAGAACGCAGAGAACCAATATTTAAAGTTAGTAAATAATAAATCGTTTTTATTATGTAATGAGATTCTATATGATCAATTTTGATATAAATCTTTCTTTTAATTCAATTTAATTTTTGTTCCCTTCTCATATTCCCAGTTTCTCTCACGATGTTGGTTTTTCTGACTCGTGTTCGTACACGTCGGGTTCATTTGACACGACATGCTCCCAGCTCTTCTTTGGACACTCGGCGTGCAGAAGTGCCGTTAGGCCCCGGGCAATCGGGCACCGGGCAACCAGTTGCTCAGTGTTGGGCAATAAATGATTGTTGGGCGCGATAAAAAGATAAAATGTTTGACTTTTGTTGTTGGACAAGTAGTTGCTGCTGCTGCTGTTCGTTGTTGTTTGTTGTTATTTAAGTGTAACACGCAGGAGCAACAACTACAACAACAACAACAACAACAAAAACAAAAAAAACAACGACAACAACACCAACACCATCATTTGGCTTGTTAGCACCTTAACTTATTGTTTTTGTTGTTGTATTATGACTTGGTTTATTTATAATTATTTTTACCCAAAAGCATTATTTATAGCCTATATTAATATTCTTTATCATTGAAAATAATACTTATGGTGCTGTTCCCTTCTTGTTAATATACCCTTTACCCACTAAGTATGACCAAAATATAAGGGTATCATGGTTTTGTTTTTAAATATGTAACACAGACAAGTTTATTATTTTTATTTTTCTTAATCATTTTTATACTTTTTTATATTTTCCCAAAATTTGACATCAAGGTTCCCTTATACCCTATAACACCTATTCTCCCAAAATGAACTTATGGAATTTAAAGACAATCTTGGAGAATATTAATTGCTCTATTTATATAACTGTTTGTCCTGACTTTTGTAAGACTTATGAAAAATGCATTCCTGCTTGAGTGAAATGGAGGCCACAGATTTTCGTTTCAGCATTTTCAATAATCTATTCGTAAAATCATGTGGGACGTGTTTCAAGCTTTCTTCACCCCAAGCTTTCTGGGTGAGATTATAAGGGCGAAGTTTCAAGTTTTGTCCATTTTGCTTTAAACTTATTTCCAGCGATTTGGTAAATTCCACCCACAACAGTGGAAAATTGCGGAAATCGGTCGTCGTTCGACCTTTAGTTTACCGTACGATCGATTTCAATATTATTCTCAAAGTTCTTTGTGAGAACTTATTTGATACGTCCCTCGGGCAAGGCCGGGTCATACTTTAGTTATATATACATATATCTAAATATATATATATTTATAAATAGATATAGATATAGAGATATATCTCTTTTTAACATCTAGATTCGCCAAGTCCAACAGACTAAGAGACACATTTGCAGGGTATCTGCTAGTTGGCCAACTGCTACTTCCTTTCTGTTTTTTTTGTTGGTGTTGTTGTTTTTGTTGTTAGGTAGCACATTTCCACAGCTACTTGAAAGATAAAACATTGTTGTTTATTGCCGCTTGATCTGATAAAGCCACCGTGCAGCAGGCGAGGCGTGTAGAACAAGCCAACGACGTGGCAGGCAACCGGCCGGGTAGCCGGGCGATATCATATCCATGAACAATTCCAGAGTCCATGCCCAATATCTAGGTTGAGTTGAGCATTTGATGTGCATTTGATGAGGTCAGCAACGCACCCAACATGAAGTGGAGCTACCTTATCAAGGGAGCACTCGCATCGGCGTGGACTGGGCCATATGGAGGCCAATGGATAGCTGCATCTGGAGACAACGTGGCGACGACTAACCAGCCCAATAGAGGATTATCAGCAATGATTTTTGATTTATCACTGAACCCAAATAGATATACACATTCGTCTTAGACTTGGAGTTGGGTTCTTGTTAACTCTTAAATGTGACATCGAAATTTATGATATGAGCTTGATTTATATCGAGCACGGCACGGGTGGGCATCTGACAACTGACGGGCGTACTTAGATAAAGCGACAGGTGGACAGGACCGTGGACAGCGGGCATATCAGTGATAAAAATTCACCATGTCGATACCTTTGCAATCCGTGTACAGTAAAAGAAACAATGTGGACAATGCTTGTTCAGGGAGACGTCCGTTTTCTATGAGAAGGGAACTAACTATCCGTACAAATTAAATACCCTTGCAGACACATAATCTGCTTGTAATAAACAGCGGAACCCGTAAGAATTCCAGACAACTTGAAAGATTTATTTTAGATAAAGGGTAGCTAAGTTAATAATAATCCAAGAATTTGGAGCAATATTTCTTATGGATGCTATAAAAAAATTTAGCTCGATCCATAAGGAGGAAACAATCTTTTCTATAAAATATCCTGCATTTCAGACAACACTTGATGTTCTCCATATTATTACAATTATTATTTCAGAAGCTAATTTTGTAAAATTCTAGAACTTGAAGTGTTTTCTATGTAAGCTATATAAAAGTTCTTTTTATTCAAAATCGTGGTTGTTTAAATTTTCCTTTTATATATTTAAATCCAATTCCCATTATTCCTTCTTTCTTCTTTGGGGGTTTTTTTTTTTACCAGGAAGAGGGTCATAAGAACGTCCACCAAGTTGAGATCGATTTAGAAAAGAATATTAGATAATTAATGGGACTACCAAAAATTATATGTTCGCTCCAGCGAGCTGTCCATTGTAGACAGTTTACTGTACATTCAGGGCAAAACTTAGCGCGCCTTAAATTTCCCTTTTATAATTCCCATTCATTTCTTCTTCAGGAAATTTTGTTGTACTATTAAGATATTCATACCAACGTCCACCAAATGGAGATCAATTTCTATAAACGAATTAAAGATAATTACTGGGATTACCAAAAATTAGATTCTCGCTCAAAAGAGCTGTCTGTTACTGAAAGATTTTACTGTACATTTCCCCTTTATTTATATATACTTATTTATTCCTTCTTCAGGGAATTTTTTGTTATGTAAAAAGAAGAGAGCCACAAAAAGTCAACCAAATGGAGATCAATTTGTGTTTAATATTTTAAGATAATTATTGGTACAACCAAAAATTAAATATTCACTTCAGCGAGCCGTCTGTTAGTAGACAGTTTACTGTACATTCTGCGCAAAGCTTGGTGCGGCGCCGCGTGAACAATTTGGGCAAACAAATGCTAAATAAATCGGAACACACACAAAAAAACAACTTGTGAAAAGAACGTGCCAACAATTAAATATCCACATACATATACACAGTCTTATATATTTAGAGAGCGTGTGTGTGTGTACTTACTGATTGGATGCTGGCAGGGATTGGTGGTGAATATCTCCTGGAAGTACGGACTGCATATGGCCAGGACGATTTTGTGGGCCTGCAGCAGCTTGCCGTCGCAGGCCAGGGTGACGTCTACCAGGTCGCCGCGGTCGTACAGATTCTGGAAGCCGCTCGCGATATTGTCCTGGAAATTTTTCCAGCAAAGCTTGAACTCATCGTCCATGGCGGTCGCCAATTGTCGGCCGCGTTTCACGGCCAGCCAGCTGTATATATTGGTATTTATTTAAAATACTTTTATTTGTCGTCTTCTTGCTGGCGACTCGACTTATTTGCAATTGTTTCTAGTTAAATGTGCAGAGAAATCTTGAGTCTGTGTTTTATTGCCGTTTTTTAATGATTCTTGTTTATTTGCTTTTGGCCGTGATTTCTTGGCTCGTGCACTTTGTGGCTGACATTCACAACTGAGATGCCACAGAATGTCAGGTAGAACATAAACACAAAATATATATATATATGTATGCAAAAAGCACACTCACGAGAGCCAAACGCCGTCGCGAATGTAATTTGGTATTTTATTTAAACAGATGCTGCAAAACAATTTTAGTTTGTTGTCGTTCACGCGCACGAAACACGAACCGTCTGCGAGCACAGCCAGATTGACTTTGATTTCGGTTTTAATTAACACTTTTTGATTTAAAACATTTTTATCAGAAAAGCGTGAAATGGCAGCGGACGCTGTTTACGTTTCGGTTCGGTCGCCGTTCATAACTGATAGAGAGAGCGAGAAAGAGAGAAGCAAGAAATCATGCGCACAAGCAAAACAGCTGTTTAACGAGTAGTGCTGTAAAGTGCGGAAAATGAAGATGGCGGGTGATTAAATTCAAATGGCTCAAAATGGGTTTTTCCTACAAGCATGAAATGATTATCATATTTTAACAGTAAGACAGTCTTCTTTATATTTATTCTTATACTATACACATCCCTTAAGTAAAGAGAACTTACTGATATTCGATTTATTCAATCGATGTTCGATACATTTCTCTGATAATATTTCCAGGCGCGGACTATAAAATTAAAAAGCGCCAGCAGTGCTGATTGATAAGCGCTTATCTAAATTTTGTAAACTCGCCGACACTGTTCGGCTGAGGTCGACTTAGTGTGTGCGGTAAAATCGTAGAGCCAAATATTGCCAATGCGACCGTCACAGTAGATAACGTGGCCGTGTATAACCCACTTTGTGTTTTAAACAAAAACAAAGAATTTCTTATCTGTGAATGGCTTGCACGTTAATTATATACACACCCAACCATATATAGGTGGATACCAATGCCAATTGGTCACCGGTTTGATTTCTCTGATTTAGTACTTTAAAAACGTTCAACTGCTTTGGTACAAACGACATTTGATTATCTTCCTATTATAATGGGTGGTTGTTGTAGTAAGCAAACAACGCAGCTTAAGCAACGATTATTCAAATAATTGTAATCTCTATTAACTTTCTTCAGGTACTAGTAAATCGGTCGATTTGCCAGCTGTGCCGCCAGCGCCAGCTAAGCAGCGAGCCACAACGCTACCGGAATTTCCGAGTACGCTTTCAAACAATAATTCCGGCATTTCTACATTGGGAGGAGCTACGAACAGAGCACTTGAAGAAGATTAGCAGGGCTAGAGCAATGAAACTAATAAAGAACATCTACAAGTAATTTCAAGAAATAATTATTAAATATGCACCCAATTAGAATTCACGTCAAATTTTCCTTTTAAAAATAAAAAGTTTAAGTAATGTAGTTAATATTTTGTGAAATATGCAGCTTTAAATATTAATTATAAAATCAGTTTTTTTAAAAGAGCGCCAAAAAGACTTTTACAACACTCTGAGCACAACTGTTGCTCTAGTGCGCACATAACAAAAATACTAAAAAATACTTCTGTCAAATACTTGTACGCAATATGGTACTACACGCTGTAAGTGTTAAATATACACCTAATATGAATTAACATAAAATTTGCCTTTAAAAAAAGGTTTAGATATTGCAGTTAATATTTTTTCAAATATGCTGTAATAAATAATAATTATAAATATAGTGTATTAAAAACATTTTCCCAGAGCGCCAAAAAGATCTTTACAACAACGTGAGCACGACTGTTGCACAGCACTAAAATCGCTACTAAAAATACTTCTATTAAATACTTGTACGCACTACACGTGCATGCGGCTCGTGTGTTTTTTATTTTTGTGAAAAGTTTTTTATCAAACTTGGCCGATTATATATGAAAACACGGCCAGAGACATATAAAGATGGCAATACAAACGAATAAACGGAAAAGAAAACATGAATCTTCAGCCGCAGACCAACCAGATGATGCTGAAATAGCGGTACCCAAAAAGCAGCACAAAGAGTCCCATACGCCAAAGAGAAAATCAAAAAAGGAAAAAGATCAGGTGAATAGCGAAGAAAATGCGAATAAAGCAACCAAAGAGGAGCAGTTGGAAGCCTCCGACAGTCCATCCAAAAGTAAAAGGGAACAGACAGCTGTCGATCAAAAAGTTGAAAAAGTGGACGAAGCGGAAATCAGTCCCGACTCGGGCATCGAGCCGGAAGAGAAACCTCTACGCTTTCCCAATGATTTCAAAATGATGCATTTTCGGAGCAAGTTGCTCGGCGACAACTTTATAACGGGTAAGACTGAGATTCAAGACTAAGATTCCTTTTATCTAATTTTGTTCTGCGAACAGAATTGCGTCACTTTCTGTATATGTGCGAAGTACGGCCCAGGATCGTGGCCAAGTATATTGAGAAGCGCGGCAAGCCGTTGGAGCTAGCCGAAGCCTTCAATCGCATCGACAAGACCAACATACTGCATGTGGGCTACCTTTGCGAGGCGTTGCAGCGCATTATCATGGAGATACTCACGAATCAGAAGGCTCACATGGAGTCGGCAGCTCACGCGGGTCGCTATTTCCTCAAGGTGCATGGCGCGCTGCTGGAGCAACTGTTGCAGTCAGCGCAGCCGAAGCATCGACGCAACGCGCTCAAATTGCTGACGGCGATTGTATGCGTGGACTCGCAGCTGGGACGCCAGGTGCTCAGCTCCTACGATATACTCTCGAATGTGCGCACCATGAACGAAATGTTGTCGCACTCGAAGCACGATTACCAAAACGAGGATACGGTGCGCAAGGCATATATACACTTTATACTGGCCTTTCTGGTGGATGGCAATGCGCTGCTCATACGCAACATTATGGATCGCGCCCATTTGATCCGGGTGCTGGCCAAGGGTCTGGTCTACGATGACCATGTGACTGCTTGCGTGGTGCTCAACACGCTGCGCCAATATGTGTTGGAGAATCCGAGCATATTGAAAACAAAGAAGGTGCACGTCTTCGATCTGGAATGCTGCAAGTATCTGCGCCGCCTTTACGACTGGGAAGGCCCCCAAGGCCTGGCCGTCTTCTATAAAGGACACAAGATGAAGCACGACTTTGTGCCGGAGGAGCGCGAGGCCGTTGCCGCCGCCGCACATCAGTTTCTGCTGCTGCTTTTCACCTCGCGGAAACACGGCATCAGCTTCGATGCGATGAGCAACTACCGCCAGAAGCACAACAAGCTGCAGGGCAAAATCCTGGGCAGCCTATATCGTGCATATGCTGACCCGTATAAAACGGAGCTTATATTGAAGACGCTGCACGCCTGTCCCGATCTGGGCAGGCACACGGTGCGCAATTTCGCCACGTACGTGAATCCGATGCGAGTGCCCGCGGCCGATTTGCCCAAAGCCATCGATTTGCTGGCCCAGATCATTGCGGCGGTGCCGCCAAGCGCCCTGTCCGTGGCCATGGACAAGATGACACTGACCGACTTCGGCTATTGGATCAAGGAGCTCTGCCTGCCCATCGAGGCGCTGCTGCACATTGTCGGCAAGTACATGCTCAAGCACAACGATTTCCAGGTGCGCCTGGCCGTCAACCAGCTGCTACTGGCCATGATGACTCAGTACAGCAATTATATGGGCGCCGTCGCGCTGCGGGAGCAGTCGAAGCGTGCGGGCAACTCGTTGCGTAAATTTAAATTTGAGCTGCTCAATCATTTGCTAATCAACTTTCCGCCCATCGAGAGCGTACTTTACTCGCTGTACGTAAGCATAGAGGAGCGTCAAAAGGATGGTGTCCATGTGCTAGAGCATCTGTCGGTCACCCTGGAGCTGATCCTCATCATGTGCAAGGAGAATCGCGCCTTTGTGAACAAAACCAGCCAGATTCTCGATTATTTAGATGTCTTGAGGCCGCTGTACGAAACTAACTTCGATGAGCCTGAGTCGACGGAGGCAAATCCACAAGATCTAGACAAGGTGCAAAAGATTAAGCTGGAGCTGAAATCGATCAAGACGATTTTGCTGCTGTTTCCACGCTCGCTGCATCCGCAGGAGCAGCTCTTCGAGAAGGTCTTGCGCTCCTTCGTCAAGGCCTACATGCTAGAGGATGATAAGGCGGTCAAGTCGGAGGCCGGCGAGCTGCTGCATAGCCTGTTCCAGAACACGGGCATGTTTGACTCGTGCAGCTACGAGATCGACATCTGGCTGGAGGCATTGATCGGCTTCGATGCCCAAACCGTGGACAATGTGACAAGCATTCTGCTCAACATACTTTCGCTGGACTTGTCGCAGGTGGAGGAGGAGCAGCTGCCGGCCCAGGATTCGGCCGCAACGACGGCCAGTAATGTGCAGAATCTGCGCAAGCTTTTATCCCAAATCGAACAGGGCCAAACGGTGCAGGCCTATGTAGAGACGCTGACGCTGAGCAAAATGTTGCCGCTGCTGCTGCAGGGTGTCGCCATCGAGCCGCCGCACGATGCCTACGTGGAGCTGGTCTGCGTGCTGCTCTTTCACTATCACACCAAGCCCGACCAGCTGCAGCAGCTCTACAGCTCGCAGCTGTCGCGGCACAAGGACTACATGGAAATCGGTCAGGGGCCACGTCCTCTGCCCGCGCAGGTAGCCAAACATTGGCCACAGCTGGCGCAGCTGCAGCGTCTGGTGCTGGAGTCTTCTCCGACGCAATCATTTGAGCACATATTCCGGCCGGCGCCGGATCAGAGCGAACCGTTTGAGCTGCAGCTGTCGGACGGCAACAAGCTGCAGCTGCATCTCAGCCTGCGCAATCCGCATCGCAACATGATCTACGCCCACGAGCTGCTCTTTCTACTCGCACAACTGGTGCAGAGCAAGCAGCTGAGTGCCCAGCAATCCCAACTGATAGCCGATTGCCTGATTAGGCTGCTGCAAATTGCCGCGCAGCTGGATGGCGATCAGCCGTGCGCCCCGCTGGCTGATGAAGAGGAGCAGGGGCAGCAGGGGGAAAAGGAGCGGCAGGAGACGCACACACTGCGCCTGCTGCACTACATCTACAGCATACGGCTGAGCCAGCTGCGCGCAACGCACCTGTTCAGCGAGACGAGCGAGACGCAGCTGCACTACGTCAGTTGCCTGCGACGCCTGACGGATCACTGTCGCCGGCTGCCCGGCTTCTGCAGCTACACGAGCTACTACAGGCAGCAGCTGGTCCTGGCGCTGGAGATAGCACTGGACGACAGTGCAGTCTTGGCGGCTGTCGAGCAGCCGGCGCAGCTGTTGGAGTGCGTCGCCCTGGTGGATGCCTTTGAATTAAATGCCAACGAGTGCGCGCAAATGCTGCAGCTGCTAACGGCAAAGCTCGAAGCGAGCGATTACCTGGGGGCGCCGCATTACTTTGAGCTAATGCTGCGTCTTTTGCGGCGCCTGGCTCAGCTGCAGGACCAGCCCGTCGACTGCAGCCTCGCCATGCTCCGGCTGCAAAGCTATTACGGCGAATTTTGCGATAGCTCCTTGCCCGCCGAGCAGCTGGAACAGATGGAGGTGGCCCTGCTCGAGTTCCTCAGCAGCCAGCATCATCATCTGGCCGCTTGCCACGCCCAGTTCTTTAGCTGTTTCTTTTCCACATCCAACCGTAAGCTGAGCAAATCAGCTGTAAAACTCGCCTGCCTGCTGCTGCAGCGCAACACGCAGCTGTCCTCCACTTTTGTGCAGCTTTTGCCAGAGCATGTGGAGCAGAAGGATCTGATCTACCCGCTGCTGGCTGTCGCTTTCAGTCGAGGCTATCGGCTGGAGCAGTCGCTGCTGCAGCGCTGCTATCAGAGCTACAAGGGGGGCATCCTCAAGAGCATCGAGAAACCGCAGAAGGCGGCGCTCATTTACCGGGAGCACGCGGCGGCCAGTGCTGCGATCATTGGCCAGTGCATGCCCAAGTCGGAGTGCGTGGACTACTGCCAGAAGCAGCTCAAGTTCGATGCCGTCGGCCTGTTCCAGATGCGCGTACTGCGCGAGATTTACTGCCAGGCCTTCGGCGCCAGCAAGGATGCACAGCAGCAGGCGCAGATCTTTGTGAACTACGTGAATTTAAATGTTCAAATGCTGGCGCTCGACCTGAAGAAGCAAAGCGTGCAGCTGGAACAGCTCGAGCAGCTGGCCTTCAATTGTTACGACTGGTGGCAGCAGCAGAAGCTGGACTCGGACTCCTCCAAGCCGGATTGGACGCGTCTGCTGAGCGCCTCGCATTGGCTTAACTTCTGTCGCAGTTGCTTGAAGCAGGCCCTGCACATAGCCGAGGAGCCGGAGCAGAGGCAGATCAATGGGCTGTTGCTCAAGCTGCTGGCCTACCTGTGCGATCAGCTTTACGAGGATTACAGTGAGGAGCAGGCCGAGGAGCATGCGGATGCCGCGCTGCTATACGAGATGGCCTGCACGCACTCCTGCTGCTATGATCAT